TGAGTCAGTTTCCTGTTGGTCTGACATCCTCTGACTGAAAATATTAGAGCCAATGCATCACGGTGGAGATATGCAGAATGAGAATAGAATTTTTCCTGAGCTAGTATGACTGACCTGGGGACTGAGCTATCATACAAAAGTTTTTTGTCCATGTGCAATGTGTTTTCTTCCAGGATGAATTCAGAGGGGTGTTAGCCCTCATCCCACTCTCTGTAAATTGTCAGTGATGCAATTTACTTCCCTATTTACTTCTCTTCTCCTGAACAGTTGAATCTAATGAAGATGATTTTTACCCACAGGATTCTTCCAGTCATGTAGGATAAAAAATAAGGCAGCAATAAGGCAGGAATTTATGCTGCCTGAGAGATATGTGCCTGTTTTGGCTCAGGAATAGAGGCTCAGTTTTGTCTTCACAATGGCTGCCCTTCAACTGTGTGACCATGAAGAGCTAGCTAAGATCTGTAGGCCTTGGGTGTTTCAAAGTGAACATAACTATGGCCTGAGGAGCTCATCACCAAAAAAAAACCAAAAAACAAACAAACAAACAAAAAAAAGTCCCTAATCCCTTGATTCAGGGTTGTTTGTCTTCTCTGCAGAGAAGTGCTACAGGTCCATAATCCTCAAGGCTGGACAGGTTTCCTAACAGATCTCATAACCTGATCAGCAGGACTGGACAAGTTCAGAAGGTCCCGTGTGCCAGTGCTATGCACAGAGCACTGAGTCAATAAAGACTGCACTCTTTGCCAGAATACTGGGTCTGAAAATAGCTTTGGGTAGGATTTGTAGCTAGCATGTTTCATGCTAAACTAATTCAGTGTGTCTTTACTTTTTAACTTACTGCCAAATGTACAGTACTCTCCAGGACACCTGGAAAGCAGCAGAGAATCCAAGGAGCAGCTACATACAAGTCTACACAGAGGACCCTGTTGTTTCCCTCCATATATTGCAATCACTTGATTGCCAAGCAAATGGAAGAATTCTAATGAAAAAGCTTTCCAAAAATACAAGACATTAAAATCAAAATATCTTCCACCTCTGAATTAAGAGAGAGTCCTACCTTTAAAGAAATTATCTTAGCAGAAAGAAAATGTAAGGTTATTTTGAAAAGAATTTAGAATATAAACAATTTACATGAAAAAAAAAAATTACAAGGAAAACCAGTTATAGGCTCAGTTTCTGACACCATAAAGATATGACACAATAAATAGTACAGTACACATGGAACACACGGTTGAAACTGAGTGGAAATTTAACAGGGTAGAAATCCATTTTGGATTTAGGTGTTTTGAAGTCTGATAACTCTGCTGTGCTCAAGGCTCCCTGTTCTCGCAGAAAGCTTGTGCTCACAAAACTCTCATTCCTTTTTCACAAGGAAAAGAATGCAAACTTCCAAGATAATTAAGCCCCTTGAACTTTGAAAGACAGGAGCCTAAAGCTGAGGCTGCAAGAGATGGACAAGATGACCAGAGAGTTCTCTCTGTACAAGAACTGATAAGGGCTAATTGCAAGTTGTAATGCAAAACCAGTAAAATTAATATGCATAAACCTATTGTGAAACTCCATGCATATATACAAGAGAGGGGAATAATAAAAGATTTGGGAATTCTCAGGGGAGGACATGTTCTTTAAGGGGAGACAATCCCCACTAGCACCCAGCACTAAAATAAGCATACCAGCTTTACAATTTTTACAAGTTGTGGAGTAAGTTTTTTTTCCTGCAAATCACAGGGAGCTTCTCTCCTTCACTTCAGACTGTAGATACCCTTGTCACAGAAGACAAAGCTGGCAGCTCACCCTTGCCATGTCACATCCCATGTGCTTCTAGGTGCTTCAGGGAAACTGTTGGAGTGATGAGAACATGCCTAAGATGTGGAAACACACTTCTGTCACACAGGCTGACCAACCCAGCCAAGTAACTGATTAAAAGCTGTGAAGACAGGCAAATTGGATTTTAACTGCTCTTGACTGTTAGATTTCAAACTCAGACCCCTCTGAAGTATTTAACTTAATGCTTCTGCCTGACTGAACTCCAAGTTATCTTTACATACAACCAGAGTCACTACTTTGTGCAAATACCCCTCACAATATACGTATATTCTGGTATGCTTTTGAATATTCTGTAAAAGGAAGAAAATTGCTGTTAGAGGAAAATTCTCCTCATAGGAGCCCAAACCCTAAAGAAGGACTTTCTTTCACATAAGCAAAAAATATGTAAAGCCTTATCTTCTTTAGCATGCATGAGGAACAGAGCTCCAGTTTGGCTGAGTCAGTGAGCCCAGAGCCACCTGCCAGCCACCACAGCCACTAGCAAATGTTGCATTTCTCCTCTCCAGCTCCTTATCGTGATTTCAGTTTGAAACCCTGTATAGCTCTACCTCTTCTTGTCACCTGGACAAAAGCTGAAATGCTACCACAAGAGAATCTTATATTAATCATTACATGAAACCAGGCAGAAGTCAGGTCCAGAAATCAGTGTCACATGCAGGTTGCAGGTAGAGAGCATGCAGAATTAGAAATGCTCTTAAAATAGTTTTTATATATTTCTCATGTTCATATCATATGGGGTTTAGGGCTTGTTTTCAGTAGTGTCTATTTCTCTAAATGCTTCTTCTAGATAATAACTTTTAAAGCTGTTTCTTATAAACCACAAACTATCAGTTTCTGCAAACCATGTGGAGAGCAGGAATAGATGGTAAAACAAAGGGAACAAGTGAGGAAAAAAAAAAGAGAGTGATGACCCTGATTAAAAAATAGAGCATGCAAAAATCCTCCTTACTTCAATTGAATAAGGGGTCTCAGGGACAGTGTTGTTAGTTTCCCTCTGAAACTCACATTGGTTTATATCAGCTTATTGATTGTATTCTGCTTACAGAAAATGTTCCAAAAGGCTTTATGGAACAGATGGCAAGTATTGGTATAATTTAGCCCATCAGATATGATTGTTTCTTTATAATATCTAAAAATTCTTTGGGGTTAATACTTCAGGAGAATCATATGCATTTCAAAAGAAGAAAACACACACCTATGAAAGTAAAACAATATAAACTGGAGTTTGGGTGAATAGCTGGGTTAGAAGTGTGTGTGTTTTGACTACTGCAAAAGTAAATAAAAGGAATAATTTGGGGGAGGGGTGGGGAAGAGGCAGGATTGGAAGAAGCCTGAGTTTATCTCTGGAATGATACATCATTTTGAGACAGATGAGTGTCCTTGCTGTGGTTTGAACTGAGATTTCAGAGTTCTGAAAGAAAGTCACACAATCTCCTTCTGCACCAGTGCCTCTGATACAAAATGCAGTTAGTTGTTAATCTGCCTCTCAGGGGTATTTTGGAGCTCTCAGATGCTACTGTGACATTTGTGACAGGTGCCATGGAGGCCCAGAGTATCTCAGAGAGTATTGTAGTGAGCCTAAACAGATGTTGTGGGTATATGGATTACACAAAGAGTGTTTTAATGGAACTAAAAGTGCTACATTTTCTGTTCTAGCATTTCTAGCATTCAAGCATTTTCTGTTCTAGATACTATGTGCAAGTCGCATGTGTGAAGGCAGGTCACAGGACAATAATGAGTACAGATGATTAAAAGAGATAACAGGTTTTTGAAGTGACATTCCCCCGGGGAAAAGTGATATATAATGATTTGCCCTGTTTGAGAGGTCTGACAGAGGTTGGCAGCTAAGTGGAAAAATAGCATGCTTGCCAAGAGGGGTCACGTGCCCAGGGTTGAAGAGCTGATGCATCATACCTGCAGGGACCCTGCATATTCAGAGGTGGGGGAACAAGTGTAAAGTAGTCTTATTGCATCCTGATCTTCTAATAGGTCTTTGTTCAGTGAAAGCCAGATGCTTAGCAGTTAACTCAAAGAATGTTAATGCTTCCAGGCTTTATTGAAAAAGCTTTGATAGTGGGAAGTGGGAACAGGAAGACTGGAGTGCTGAAACCTCTAAATAGCAATACCCTGACCCAAAGCAAATACAGTTTACCATGCAGAAGAGTCCTTTTGCTGGCATGATTTATGTCATCTGAGAAGGGAGTTTAATTATCCCAGCAGAACACCTCCAAGCTGCTGGATAACATCAATAAATTACAAAGAGGCTGTAATCTAAAGCCCTGGTCTGAAGGTTCAAAAAAGGCAAAAGGAAGATGTGGAGAGCAATAGGTCTCAGAGCGAGAAGCTCAAGCAGTGATCGCCACTATGGGAAGTCTGTGGCAGTCACACAACTGGTGTTGTTCCCCTTTTCTTCATGTACGTCAAATGTCTGTGATGATGGGACTTGGCAATGTCATTGTCTATGTATAAACAACAGCACTGTTTGTAATAAACATGCATATTTCACACTACTGTGCCAACTCTGCTGCCTATCGAGCCATATGCTCTTGCAGAGGGTGTCTGAATTAAGTACGAATTGCTTGACTGTGGGATAAGAGACAGATGTAGCACCCCATTACAGGGACATTCCAGGCACAAGGAGTATATCTGTCCTGAAACACTTCATGATTTTCTTTGGTGTATAAATGGAGAGAACAAGACTGAATTTTCCTTTAAAGTCCTGGCATAATTGTACTCAGGCAAGGAGAAGCAGAAAATCACCCAGGAAGCTCCTCATTCACCTGGTCTAAAGATTCTTCCAGGACATTTAGAAGAGGTAGTGGAGGAGAGGGAGAGGGAGAGGGATGTGCACAAAGAACTGGCTGTGAATGCAGCCTTTGGAGATATGCTGGAAAGCCATCAGGATGAGTCTGGAACAAGCAATATTTCTGACAGCCCTATTGTTTTCCACAATTATTTTTAAGTTTAAAAATATTTTGGCTGTTTCATTTTTTGGGGAAAAAAAAAAAAAAAAAAACCAAAAAAAAAAAACCAAAAAACTAAGCCTGAACCTTTGGTGCTCCTTGGTTATCACACATATCAGCAACTCAACAGTACAAAAGTTGGATTTCGTCCTTTTACTTTTTTCTTTTCCCCTAGGAAATGCGCGTGCAAGTTTTCCTCAAAATACTTACCATCTCTGAATCGGTGCCTGGGGAAGACAGTTCTCTCTCCAGCGTTGCCCGCAGCCGGCGGCTAGCAGCAGCAGCCCCCCGGGCAGGGCGCATCCCATTCCCGGCTGGAGCGGGGCATTCCCGCACGGAGCAGGGGTGGGCTGCAAACGCGACAGAGCCCGCCCAGCTGTGCTGGCCTGGGGGACACTTCGCGTGGAAATTATCTTTGAAATTTTCCCCTGATGGCTCGGAAGTGTGTGGCAAGCATTAGTCGAATCTCCAGAATACATTAGTAAAGACGAGTCACTCGTGCCCCCACATTCCCCTGAAAAAGTCCGACAAAGCACTTGCGAAGGGAGCCGTCTCTGCCCGCCCCGCCGTGTCGCGGCGCCGCTCGCCGTCCCTACCTTGTCCCGCTTCAGCAGCTCCAAGATGTAGGCGAACCGGGGGCTGTCCGCGGCTGCCTCCATGGCCCGCTCCAGGCGGGATCACCGCCCCTGCGCTGCCTCCGCCACCGCCGTGCAGCCGCTCCCGCTCCGCTCCCGCTCCCGGTCCCGCTCCCGCTCCGCTCCCGCTCCCGGTCCCGCTCCCGGTCCCGCTCCCGCTCCGGTCCCGCTCCCGCTCCGGTCCCGCTCCGGTCCCGCTCCCGGTCCCGCTCCCGGTCCCGCTCCCGGTCCCGCTCCCGGCGCTCTCCGGGGGCAGGGCCGCCGTGCTGCGACCGATGCTCGGCCCGCCGCCCCGCTCACGGGGCTCGGGATGCTCCTGGGAGCGGCGCACCCCCGAGCATCGTGGCAGGACTGACAGGGAAATTTGCTTGGAGCACCTGGAGGTGCCCGGGAGCACCGCCTCTGCTCAGGCGCCGCGGCCGCGAGAGTGGCTGCCTTAAAGCCGACAGAGTTACACCTGCTGGTGGTCTCATAGAAACGGAGTGATGCTGTGTTAATCACCGAGCCTGTGGGATTGGGCTGGTGCCTGTGCGTGCCCCCCACGGCAACACTCAAGGTGGGCATGCCTCCTTTCAAAGCACAGATTGAAGTGGATGTATGCTGAGGAGTAGCATAATGCATTTGTACCCAGGGTCCATCTGGTTTTCTTAAATTCTAAGCTTTTGTTTAAATTACAAATTGTGTCTAAACAGAGAACACCTACTAATGTGCATAATTGCATATATGATCTCTTTCACGTGTTTGCACTTGATTGCTGATGTGCTTGTGGGGTAACTCAAACATGAGGAAATCTTCCTATCATCTCCTTTTCTTCATCCCAGGCCTGATACAACTTCCAAGGATGAGATGGATACAACATGCCTGTATTACAACTGTGGCAGAAAAACTGGTCCCAGTAACCCAAGTACCCTCCTCTGCTTGATGAGGGCAGCCATCAATTCCACTGAAATGTTCACACCAGGCAGGAAGATCAGTTATCAGGTGAGGCACTGCACAGCCCCCCAGACACAGTGGGCATCGGGGTTCCACAGGACAGCTGGGGAATGGTGTTTGACATGTGGCAGACATCACATTTCTGCTCCATGCCTGTCCCCACTCCATGCCTTATATATACACCTTGCTTCTGGTAGAGGAACTGCAGCCAGCAGTGGCTCATTTCTTCCTGTTCTGGAGTCAAACTTCCCCAAACACAAAGGTCCCAGCTGCCTGCAAGACCTGGGGGAGAAGCACAGGTGAATGGGCAGCTCGCTGCTGTCTCACCAGTCCTCTTCCAAGCTGAGAGGTGGAAGGTGACAAACCCTTCTTACGCTGTAGCTATCAGGTAGCCCGTGGGGCACATCACCCCTGGGTGGTGAAAACACACCAAAGAGTATTTTATAACAGTATAATGTATCCCCTCAGAGGCTGCATTTCCTAAGATATTGATATAGTAGTAATGTTATCTCAAATTCTCTCTATGGGTTACTCACTGAAATAGTATATCCTTCCTTTCTCAGGAAACGGGACTCATGAATAGCTTGAGACTTTTCTGTTACTAGATATTGTACAATTATATATATCAAATTACTCATTATTCAAATAGCTCATTATTATGATATAGACAGGCTTCCAGTGCACCTTTTGCTTTTGTGCAAACAGCCCAATAATAAAAAATGTTCAGTGGCACTGGGGACAGTCAGCTGTCATCACCCACACAGATGAGAAGTCCTCCATATATAATTGAACTCAGCATGAGATATTTTGCTTCCTGGTTTGATTTCAGCTCACCAAACGGCAGTCACATACGAAACTTTCACTGCTGTAGTTTCTTTGTCTCAGTGTGGAGTGCTGGTAGAGAGCAGGGCTGGCCAAGGCTGGGACAAGGGACTGCCTGAAGGAGTACCTTGCTTGTCCCAAGCTGCTCACGTCCAGCAGCCATCTGCAGGAAACCATGCTGGCAGTGGCCTCAGCGACAGCGGCTCCTGCGTCAAGGAAGGTTGTACCACTGTATCAGTGTGACTCTCCCAATGATAACCAGCACCAAGAGCAAACATACCTTTGACCCTACAGCTCCTTAATGACAGGCTGTGTGAAAAGCCAGGGAATTTACAACCCTTTGTACTCCACAGCACAAGCTGTTCACTCTACTGGAACCCTTTCAGTGGAAGGGCATGCCTGCACCTGAATCTCACTGCAGCTTTGTCATGTCTTGGCTAAGCAACCCCCAACAGCCACCAGCCAAAGTATGTGAGACAAGAATTTCTTCCCATGCATGGATCTGCTCCAAATCAAGAGTTCTGTCTTGTGTTCTTTAGCCACAAACCATGCTAGTATTGTGAACTGCTCTGAATTTCTGGCTGTTGTCTCATGATGGTTTTATTTTTCAGCTGTCAGATTTGGGTTGTGTGTTTTCTTCTCTATTGCTGCCAAACCTTGTAGGTTATGACCAAGGACTTGGACATAGGACAAAAAAGGATGATTCTTTGTTTCACTTCCTTCACCTCCTCATGCCCCACTTCCATAAATTGATAAATGTAAATGTCAATGTAAAGAGATGTAAATGTAGCTTAAGTCATGAAATCAGCCAGGGTAAGAAGGATACAGGAGAAGATGGAAGAAGCTGATGGTTCTTTCATGATCCCTTCCTGGAGTGGTTTTGTTTCAGGATTAGCTGTGTTAGCACTCCAGGTTCAGATGGCTGCCAGTGATAATTAAGCATGAGGAAGCCACAAACCACTTTTGCATTGATTTCACAGCTTCAGCAATGACATCCTCCCAAGCAGCTCTAGCCAGGATGATCCTGGGCACTGCATGACAATGCTTTCTGCCATCAGCCCTGCAGAAAAGTGTTTTTCTTCAAGTCCAGCAAGCCTGAGCAGAGCCCTGTGGACAGTTCAGCGTCATTTACACAAGCTCTCTCCATACATCCAGACTAGCTAGGAATTTGGGACTATCCTTTGCAGAAGATATAGATTCCTGTAGCCATTCTGAGGGCTCCTGTTGACTTCTCCTTGGGTAGCAGACAGTTTTTTCCAGCCTTTGCCTTGAGTGGCAGAAGGCTGACAGGGGAATGTGCACTTGGAAGACTGTAGACAGATGGGAAAGCTTCACATTGCAGCTGGTGGCCCAGGGGCTCTCACCCCTCTTGGTAACTTTATGGCTGTGTTTTACACAACCTTTACTGAGGTGGGCTCTATGTTGAAAACAGCTGGGAGCTCCTCACCTGTTCCACATAAATACAAGATATGAAATTGCTTTTCATAGTTTTCCTTCTTTTGTTTCATGTTTTACATCAGTTCCTTTCTAAGGAACCAGGATGTCTGAAAATCAATTCAAACCTTCTATTGTCATTAAATTATCTAAGAGTGTGTCATATTATGTTAAAGTGAAACATATAGGATCATATTTGTTTTCTGTTACTTAAACTTGAAGCAGATCTCAAAAAAAAAATTATATAAATTATTTGGTATAGTTTTATATCAGTGGAAAAACTGTTCCTGTATTTCAATCCTGAAATGTCATAGAGCACAGGGTTCTGTTGTGGCATGTTAGTACACAAATTAAAATACAAAGGAAATTTGTTTTTCTTGACCTGTGAATTATGTTGATTCTCCCAAGACAATGACAACAGCTCTAGATTTTCTCTTTGATCTCCTTCTCTGTCTTAGTTGGCTTCTAAACTAAATCAGAGCAGTGAAGCTTACTCAGATGCTTTGGTCTTTCTGTTCCCCTAGGACTGTGAGGTATTTTCCCATTTCCATTGCACAGGGAATCCAGTCAAGCACACACCCTCAGCACACATGTCTAGCAACATAGTGAGGTTGTTCTTCTCCTATTGCATTCCTGTAAATACACTTCAACTTGCTGGCCATCATCACCTGAGGAAATCTACTTAAAGGGTGTTTGAAACCAGTTGCAGGTGGTGGTATGTTAAGGGCTAGCACAAATAACTAGGTATAGAGGAGAGAAAGAGTACTTCCATTTTATGTTAAAGATAGTAGAAAACTGTGCTAGAATTCAGCATTAAATGCTTCACTCTCTAATTGTACATGTGAGTAAACATTTGAAATAATGGAAGAAACAACTCTGAAATGTGAGTTTGCATGTCTCTGATAAAGACTGTGACCTGCTTTTATTCTCAGAACAGCCTTCAGAGGCCTGCATCAAGCTTGAGTAATATGAAAGAGAATCCATGTGAATAGTTTATGAATTTTATATGAACTCCTTCCTTCTGCAGGGAGTGATGTAGATGTGAGCTGTCACTGGCAGAAGAAAAATTGCCAGATGAGACCTTATGATGGCTGGAAAGGTGTTGCAAGCTGGACAAATGAGACCAGATTATTTCAAAGAGCAGAGGACTTGCATGCAGACCTACAATAAACTCCATCTCTATAGTTTTTCTAGGCATCACAGGGGCATTTTTTTTTTCTGCCATTTTTTTCCCCCAGTTGTGTTGTTCTGGAGTAAACAGAGGAGCAAAGTTTCCAAAGTGTCTTGACAAGCAGTCAGAAAACTGTTTGCTTCTGCATCTCTTCCACTCCTGCACCTTCACCCTGACAATTGTGTTAATGATCTCCACTCAGGATTCAGATTTAGCCTCAGATCTCTCACATGCTGCAACTGCTATATCACATCTTCACTTTCTGCTGGACAGTTTGGTTTCTACCCTTTCAATGTCTCTAAACTTCCTTAGTGATCTGATTTTATCCCCTACCACAGATTGAAACAGAGTTTTATTTATTTTCATATACTTTAATCTAATAGAAAACAGCAAAAACATGAAG